TGTGGGAGTTATTGTTAGCCCTATTTTGCAAATGAGGAAATGGGTCTCAGAGTTTACAGGGCTGGTAAATGGCAGAGCTGCACCTCAGAAAGTTCTTTCTGACTCTGAAACACCAGCGGCCTGAGACTCAAAGAAGAGACATTCCCCGTTCCATCTTCCATGGGGCTTGGCAGGCGGCTGGGGTGGGGCACAAGTCTTCAGGCCCCCAAGGGTGGCTGACGGACCTTGTGGCTGTTCCAGATTTTCCGCGGCCACCCACAAACCTACAGCTGTTTGAGGAGGTCCCCAACACAGTGACTCTGACCTGGAACCACAGCCCTGACGTGCAGGAAGACGGCGAGGCCCACTACGTCATCCTGAAGCGGGATGCCAGTACCGCCACCTGGTTCACAGCAGCCGACCGCGTCTTCAGCAACAAGTACACGGTGACAGGGTTACTCCCCGGCAGGAAGTACTACTTCCGAGTGGTGGCCCGCAACGAAATCGGTGACAGTGACCCACTCGACTCCAAGGATACCTGGCTCATCAACAAGGACAAAAGTGAGTGTTGGGGGCCTCGGGGGTTCGGGTTATATCCCCGATGGCAGGGAGGACATAGGCGTTGCCAGGGGTACCCAAGATTTGAGGTAAAAGCTGAGAACCGCTGAGGTGGAAAGGTTAACGTCAGGGTTGCTGGGAAGAAAAGTAGCGACCCTGAAGCCCAGAGGAGATACTTTCTGGGTACTCTGAGGGGTGGGGGTGGGGAGGTGCCCTTGCGGTCAGGGATGACAGGGAAGGCCGGCGGTGTGCAGCCGATCCGCGGCCCTCGGAGCCTGGGGGTCCACGGGGGTGAGGATTGGGAGGGTCTCCGAGGGTGACGTCTAGGAAGGGAAGGGGTTAAGGGTGGGGATAGGGTCGGGGAAACTTGAAATGAGCTAAGTGGAGGCAAGGGGAGACCCTGGAGGCTGAGATGACGCTGGGGAAGGCCTGGATGGGCAGTAAACAGCCGGGTAACAGCTGGGGCCGGAAGCTGGCAAGAACTTAGGACTCTCACGTCTGGAAAAGCGTAGAAACCCCCGCGCACCTGGCTTTGATCGTGGAACCGTGGAGTGACAAGGGGTGGGAGAGTGGCGGAAGGAGAACCTCGGGCACGCCAGTGTCAAGTCGGGGCCCCAGAGTTGCTAGCGCGTGGGAATGTAGCCCAGGCCACCGGGCCTCGGGGCTCGGGGCCCGGGGCTCTCGGGGAGCTGGGTCTCCGGGGCGCCTTCGGAGCTCTCAGCGGGCGGGCGTTGGCTGGGGTCCCGGGCGTGCTCACCGCCCGCCGCGTCCCGCCCCGCGCAGTCGAGGACCTGAGCGCCAAGCTGAAGCCGTACCAGCAGAAGGACTGGCGCCACGCGCCGCGCTTCCTGACCCCGCTCAAGCCGCACACGGTGCTGCGCGGCCAGGACTGCACCATGACTTGCGCCTTCCTTGGGAACCCGCGGCCCACGGTGACCCTCTACAAGAGTGACGTCAACATCACGGCCAACTCCAAGTTCTGGTACAACTCCACCAGCGGCGTCTGCACGATCGTCATCCCCACCTGCACGCTGAAAGACAGCGGCGAGTTCAGCGTGCTGGTGGAGAATGAGCTGGGCAAGGACCGCAGCAGCTGCACGCTCACGGTCTACGGTGAGGGCACCGGGCAGGGCCGGCTGGGGGTGGGGAGGCGTCCCTGCGGCCCACCTGGTCCAGAGGCACGAGATGGCCATCTCTTGGCGCCGTTTTTTATTTCCTCTGCCATCCCGTGGTGTAAACATTCACCAACTGGCCATACTTGGTTCCTCTCTCCCATCCTCTGGATGTCATTTGTTATGTGCCTGGCCCCTGCAGACTTGGGAGTTTGCAATCCCTCAATAGACTGTAGTTTGCAGCCCTTGGTGGGCCTAGACTTGCCTTTGAAAAAGATACCGGTGATAAGGCCTAAACCAGACTCACCAGTCACCATCTCTGTGGCAGGGTTCTGGAAGGAATTTTTATGTTTACAAGATTTGACAAGGGATTCTGATATACAACCAAGACCGAAAACTACTGGTCTAGGATAAGGATAGATGGGAAGTACAAACGGGGGAAAGACTGAAGGGAACCTAGTGGGGAGCCTTCCTCTGCACAGGTGTGCTACACCTCCGCTCAGGTGCGTCCATGTAGGGGAACTATCTTACTTCTTCCTACACACTCTACTATCTTCACAACTACACAGCAAGGAGCATGAACTCTCAAAATGCAAAGCTGACCTGCCCTGCTCCCTTCTTGCTTTAACTCCCTAACTTTTCCATGATCCTTTTGAGAAAACCCCAGCCTCCTCACATCTACTTCTCCAGCGTCATCCTCTGCCACTTCCTGAACTCTCCATGGCAGTCCATTGGTGTCCTGTTGTAGGGGCCTTTCTTTGGGACAAGTGCCACGCCCTGTCGCTGTCTCTCTCAAGTACTCACCTAGACGTCTGGCACTGAGATGGTGCCTCCCTAGTGGCGGCGGAACTGTGTGACGGAAGTAGGCCAGGGAAAGCCCGGTGGGAGACATCCAGCTTTCATTCCACAGCTAGAGAAATCCCTGGCAACTTAATTCTGGTTGTAAGCACGTGGGCCCAGAGCCCTGGCTCCACCGCTGTCCAGCCGTGTGACCTTGGCAAACCACGCTGAGCCTGCTCTCTCATCTTGTTCCTTAGGGCTGTTCTGAGGCTTAAATGAGATAGTGCGCAGAAGTGCCTGGCGCGATGCTTGGCAAATATTAAGTGCTGAATAATTGGTAGCTCTTGGCCCCATACACTCAGCTGACCTTGGGAGCCTGGGGCCTTAACTGTTAAGTCCAGCAATTTAGAGTTTGCCTTCCTCCTAGCAACATTAACACTGACAAATGCTTGTTTTGCTCTTTCAGACAAAGATGACAAGTCCATTCTAGCATCAGTCACTGAAAGTCTGCCGAAGAAGTCAAAAGTACCTTATGTGAGCTCCATCCCGGCCCAAGCATCAGGAGGATGTTGGGATGTGTGATTTCGGGGCCTATCCTGTGTGTGGCCCCAGTGAGGGCAGCCCCATTTGCTCTCTGGTGCTTGTCAATGTAAACAGTCCACAAAGGCATGGGACAATAAATTGACTAAGCTCACCCCTGCCTGTTCTTGAGGGTGATGTGCAGCAGGGACCAAGGACATGGACTTGGGAGTGGATGGGGACACACGGAGCATGGACTCCAAGAGTTTAGTCCAAACCCACTCACACTGGGAGTGAGCAGCCCCTTCTAGACTGGGCCTTGACATGCCTCCCCCCTCCTCTGCAGCCACACTGCACCCTCCTCTCCCCTCAGGGCAAGGGAGAGCAAGTCTTAGATAGGCTTCATCCTTCTCCAGGTACCCCCCTCCCATTTCTTCACCAGGTAGATCTGTCGTCAGAGTTTTGGGGTTTGAGGGGATCAGGGCCTTGCCTCTTTAGTGCCCAGGGTTCCCACTATTTCAGAATTAGTGCATCTCAGAGCTAGAAGGAATTGGTCATCCAGCTCACTAGGTTTCAAACTTAGGTTTTACAGCAGAATTCTCCCTTTAAAAAAAAAAAATCATAAGAAACTACTGGACATCAAACAAGGATAGGGGGTCTCTGAGCCTCCCTCCTCAACTTATTCTTTCACTGTCCCCCACCAGGTATCTCTGTAAAAATCCTAGTTTGGAAATCACTAATTCACCCATCACCCACACGGGACTGAGCCTCCTCCTCTATCCAGTCCCCACAACTCTACAACCTCTCTACTAAGGGCATATTCACCACCACCCAAGGCTTCCCTTTCTGCTTCTGGGTCGGGACACTGCCCATTAAGATGCAAATGCCCCTGGAGTGGAGTGACTCCACTCCATTGTTTCGCCAGGGCTTCCCATCTAAAGTACAAATCAATCTACTCTCCCTCCTCCCTGCTGTTTAACTGAGCCCACAGGCCAAGGAGAGAGGAGAGGCTTGAAGGGAATCTGAATCATTTTGGAGCAGGTAGCAGGTCTGGGAGGAGGTGGGCAGCAGCAGAGGACACTGGGTAACTAAGACTTACCAAAGGAGGCCAGGCACCCGTGCGCAGGGGAATGTATCAAGGAGAAACTTGGATGGTGGTAAATCCTACCCAACCCCCATCCTCCTGAACTACATCCTCACCCATACACGTGACCGGGGAAGTGAGACCCACTCCAACCAGCACCGTGTCACCAGAGCCAGGGAGCCAGCCTGGCGCCAAGATGCACTGGCCAGGACTGTGACCCAGGCTGTAAGGACATCCAGGGCCCCTGGCACCATGTCCCACCTCCTCCTCTCCAGGACAGCCACATGCCACACAGGCAGACAAGCAGGAGAGACAATGGCCCTTGGTTTTTATTTTTTTTTCACATGAGCAGCAAAGGATGGAGTTGTCCCATCCTTGCTCCTTTTGCATTGAATATGCCTTAGGTCTTATGACCCTAGAATGTCATTGGAGCCCCCTCCTCTGGCTCCCAGTGCAGAAGGGGCAGAGAGGAAAGCATTGATGGAGGCAGGGTGGGGTCCCAGCTCTCTAAGCCAGGCTCAGCACCCCCTCAGCAACTCCCTGAGGCCCTCTCCCTTGTAAGACTTAGACAGCAGGACAGAGACAGATGGCAGAGTCAGACATAGACTGGGAGACAGACCACACACACACATGGAGTCACATGCACAGACACAAATACAGGCTGGCCCCTTCCTTTGGCATGGTTCACCCTAGCCCTGGGGATAGGGTCTAAGGGTGCTGGTGGCGGGCCTGCACTCTGGGCTAGCCTCTGAGAGGGATGGGACCAACTTGAATCCTTGGGAACCCAAGCTCCCAGGCCAATGAAGTCCCCAGTCTCGCCTACCTGGACAGACACCCCTTCACCTTCCCACCAACACTTAGAAATTGAGATTGTTCAAGTAACAAGGATAGATGAAGGAAAGGGAGACTCCATTCTCATCCAATCTTCCCAACTAGGGGCCTGCAAAAGGGGCTTCAAGCCCTGGGCTTGGGTCATCTCAGCTCAGATTTCTCCTCTCTTCCCTCAACTCTGTGCAGATCAGAAAGAGTGGGAGTGGGTGAGTCAGACTTTTCTATCTAGAAGAAGTGGGGGGGGGGAGACAAGACTCTGAGCACCATCACCCTCCAGACGGGTTTTGACAGTCCCAATGGGGTTAGAGGTGGGGAGATGTCTAATTTCAGCTCCAGCAAGGAGAATGAGGCTGGCTCTTTTTAGCTCTCAGAATTGTTCTGGACCGCTAGCTTTGCTAGAGAGATCCCTTTCCTGCTCACCCCCTCAAACTTGTACATTTCCCAGGTGGTATCTGCTGCCCCAGGTTAGGCCTACAGCCATCCTGACCCAGTTCTTGCAGGTTCTGGACCCCTGCCCCAGGAGGAGAGAGGGGTAACTAGCCCCTGGCCTCTCAGTTGGCCTTGCTCGGTCTGTAGTCTTCCAGTGGCTCCCGGCTCTCAACAGCTGATAGGGCAACAAGCATCTGGGCAGCATAGTAGGTGGACATGATGAGTGCCCGTGAGTAGGGCACGGGGAAGCAGAACTTGTTGAGGGCGATGGTCAGGTCTGAGATGATAAAGAGCAGCGCACCGCTGCCTGCCGCCAGCTCAGTCCAGCGCCAGGCTGCCTCGACCAGCCGTAGTCCTGCCATAGCCCGCCAGCCCATGAAGCCGATGAGGGCCACGTAGACCCCCACCAGACAAGTGAAGGCACCTGAGAGGCACGGGTAGAGAAGAGCATAACACAGGCCCGAGAGCACTGCCATCACCAGACCTGTCCGCAGAGCCAATGGCCGCATGCCAAAGGCCGAGGCGTAGAGCATGTGGGTCACAGCAAACATCAGCAGACCTAGGAGTGAGAGAGGATGAGGGGATGCTGAGGGCAGGTCTGGGGGACTAATGAGTAACAGGGCTGGGGTAGGAGGGGAGTGCTGCAGAAAACCCAGGAGCTTTGTCCGGGGAGTATCACGAGTGGGAGGAAATCCACAGAAGTAAAGATACACCCTCCCTTCCCCTGAGAAACTCTAGAACTGATCACCAGATCATCTAGATGCAAGGTAATCCTCCAACAAGGGCCCCACAGTCTTTGGCCTCAAAAACCCTCAGATTCCCCATATTCTTGTTCAAAAGCTCCCTCTCCCAAATCCTTGGCCACCTAAGACCCTCTGGCACCCAGCCCGAGGATTCCTCCCAGATAGCTACTGGGGCAACTGACCGTGCACAAAGTAACCCTGGTCCTGCCAGATGAGGAAGGCATCACCTAGAGCGGAGAAGACGAGCCCCGCCAAGATGCGGGTGGCACTGGGATGGGCCAGCAGGAATCCTAGGCCATGGGCCAGAAGGAAGAGCCAGAGGCAGAAGATGGGCAGGCACTTGATGAGGGCGCTGACCCACGATGGGCTGGACAAGGGCAGCCAGAGCACAAAATACACGCAGGTGGCCTTGAAGAAGGGCACCAGCTTGGGTCCCTCACTCTTCACCTGGAGGACACAGGACAAGGGAAGCACTCAGCACTCGGGGCTCAGAAGCCCATAGAGGTGTTCCGAGCCAGCACCCTCAACCCAGACATATACCACCCCAGAGCCAGACCCACTTCCCAAGCAGGGAGAATTGACACACAGAAAGCCAGTTTGGCCTGCCCCAACCAGCCAGCAGAGTATGAACATTCCCATCATCACCCTGAGGCTTAACTGATTAGGCAGGGGAAGGGCTCCACTGTTCCTGCTGCCCATGGGCATTCTTGGCCCAAAGCAGGACCGGAATGGTCACTCGCTGGGCAGAAAACAGATCTTGGGATAAAGTCCCCTCCTGCAGGCAATGCTTCTCCCTTTCTGGCTCCTCCCTGTCCCTCCCCAAAACCCCTTTAACCCCTCTCTGCCAGCATCAGCCACCAGCTGTCTGGAATGAAGCGGAGTCAGCAGGAAACCACAGAGACGCCACAGCTGGCCAACTCGTGATCCTCCGCGGTGGGGCCAGGGCACAGGCTTAGGGCCCTGGCAACACCCGGTGAGTGCCAGGAATGTGTGAGGGTGGGCCCTCAGCCCCCACAGGCTCTCTCCTTGGCCAGCCTGCTCTTCAGCCTTCGTTCCAGCTGCCCTGAAAGGTACCAGCCTCAAGGTACCATCAAGAGCAAGCAGAGGAGATAGGGATGCTGGCTAGAGAACCATTTCAGGGACTGGGGAGTTGAAGGGGCAGGGTGTCTCTTGGTCAGTCTCATTTCCCAGAGAACAAGAGCAATTCAAGAGCTCATCAAAAAGAGAGGAAGGAAGCAGGGGAGGGGTTCTCTTTCCAGCTTTTGATCTGAAGCCAGCAGACTGGCTGGGAGGAGATGTGGAACTGAGGGGGGGAAGTTAGAGCAGCTGACTCGGCCTCAGCCAGATTAGGAGGGAGGGCAGCTAAAGCAAGGTGTGTCCAAGGCCACTTCAAGTACTCTCCAAGCTGAGGGAGGGGGCTACTGCAGATATTCTGAATCTGTGATCCCCTGAAGCTCCTTTTTTTGGGTTTCGGGGACAGGGTCTCTGTGGGTGATCCAGAACTGCTGAGGTTCCCTGATATACACACACTCTGCCCAAAATGATTGTGACTCTGGCTGGGTGAGCTGTCCAGCACAAGGCTCTGGGAACACACTGATTCCCAGACTGCCGGGTACCTGAGGACTGATCAGGCTGTGATGAAGGAGGCTGGGAAGAGGCAGATGGGTAGGTTCAGGGTCCAAGCCTGCCCTTGCTCTGCCAGGGGTGAGAGCAGGGAGAAAAGATGACTAAGTCCCTTCTTATGGAGATCTGCTCCATCCAGGCTCGTCAGGGTAGGGGCATGGGTGCAGGAGGAGATGAACAACCCCACAGTCCCCAGTTCTCTCCAGCAACCACCTGCCAGTCCTTGGAAGCATCAACCTCTGCTCCATACCCCTCCCCCAGCCCCATATTTCCTATAAGGAGAAACAGGCCGTAGTAGTAGTAGCTGGTGAGACTTTGACAGTCACAGAGAATCCAACACTAGAAGAGGAAGGGTGGGGAAGAGACAAAGGTTCGAGTTGAGAAAGTCTGAATAGGGAGAGATGTCAAGAGAGAATGACCCCTCTTCCTCCAGCGCATTACCAACGCTGCCTGGACTTAGGGGCGTCCCCTCCCGCGCCCCAGGCTTGTTTATAGGATGAGGAACGCCAGGAAACAAGTTTGGGGCCAGGATTCCCAGGAGGTCCCAGTCACCTTCCTGCCCTTCCCCGCCCTCTCCCAAGCCTCCCTGTGGTCTGCCCACGCAGAACCTGGCGGCCAGCCGCTGTCCCCTCTCTCTCCCCGGCAGCCACCCCGCCGACCCCCGTCAGACACGCAGACATCAACAAAGTCACGCTTCCGAGTCACGTGCCCACTATCTTCCTCCCTCCAGCCGGCGGCGGGCAGGGGCTGCGTGGAGGAGGGGCGCCACGGGTCCCGACTGCAGGGGCCCTTGACAGCGCCCGCCTCCCGCCCGGGGACGCCGACCGCCGCGGGATCCCTGCCCTTCCTCGGCCCCCGACGGCCTGGCCTGCCGCAGCCCAGTCCCCGGGCCGGTGGGCTCCGGCCGCGCCGGACACTGGCTCGCTCGCTCGCTCACTCACCACAGTGACCGGGGACACCATGGCGGCAGCGGCGGCGGCAGCGGCTGACACTCCGCTCTGGGCTGCAGCGGCCAGGACGTGCCCGCGGCCAGGTGAGCAGGCGAAGACAAAGCCTAGGGTGACGGACAATACCTCCGGCTCGCCGGGCGGTCGGATTCCTGTCTGCGATCCCCGCCACGTCACAGCACACAGCGCCAGTGAGAGCGCCGGAGGCGGGGAGGCGGGGCGTTCGAGGCCCCGCCCCTCCGGGAAGCCGGGCCAGCGCACCCCGGAACGTGACTGTTACCCCGGAGTGAGGGCCGAGCTTGGGCTGAGAGTCAAACACATTCCTGTCGTGGGCACACGGCTACACACATCTTCTCATAACCTGGGGATAAAAAGCTGATTCCCTTCAGCCTTTAAACGCGCAGTTCACACGGACATAGTTACGGTTAGACCCACAGCCTTCATTGTGTACAACCACACATCCAAATGGACACACAATGGTCAGCGCACATACCACCTTCAACATGAAAAGAGACACATCAATAGGTCCACAGCAGTCCATAGACTCATCGTCCTCACGTATATACAAACATATACAGAATCACAATTACCCCTAGGCATCACACAAGTCCGGAGACACAAAACCAGCAGCGGCAGGTCGACACACATCCTTCGACATAAAAAGAGACACAGAGACAAGCCCGCAGCAGCTTACAGACCACAAATACTTCATTGCCCTTAGGCACGTGCCTCTCATAGCTCAGAGACAACTAACTGTAGCATAAGAACACATCAGGGATGACAGGCAGACCTGAGCATACTTAAAGACCCACACGAGTGGGAACTAACTTTGCCAAAATCCGGTTTAGGCAGCTTGAATGTCGAGATTACAGAGACTAAAGGGACACAGGCACATTTGGAACTAACTGGGCCTCATCAGAATCATGGGAATTAAATGGGTGGACTGGTAAGCTGTCAAATGCACTGTGATCTCCGTCCAGTTTTGCCAGGTCCACGTTGGGTGACTGGGTGAATCACGTGCCCTCTCTGGCTTTGATTTCCTCCTATATAAAATAAGCGCATAATCTCTAAATTTCCTCCCCAGCCCACATGTTGGGTAGGATGGGGAAGGAGCAGGCTGCTGGTGTTAGGAAAGTCCAGGAGGCTTCCTGGAGACAGAGATTTCAGATACTTCTTAAAGGATGGCCTGTGGTCTTTGATCTGCAGTAGGAGGGAAGGAGCTGTGTGTCAGGCTTTGGGAATTGGGGTTGGAGGAGATAACCAGCCCTAATTAGCCCTAATTATCAACCAACAGGGAATTTTAAACATCCTGGGATGACACTAAAGCCCTGCTGCTGCACCCCAACCTGGTGCTGGGCCAGAAGAAGCCTACAGCTTGCCTTCTGTGAGCCCCTCCCACAATGGGCCTCTCTTTTTTCTTTTGGGACCTGCCCAGCTTTCCCCAAAGCCTGTGCGGACCTGACACCCACTTGGAGTGGGGAGCAGCCCTCTCTTGGTGATAGAATTGACAAGCAGAGATTCAGAGTCAGGGGCAATAGGGTGAGAATCAAGACTTGGGATTTGGGGTCACCCACAGCCTTCTCCCATCCCCTCCAAGCCCCTTCTGCATTGAGCCCCAGTGGGCAGTGAACTCCGCCTGTTCTGCTCTCCTCCTAGTCAGGGACTGTGGGCAGACCTACTTTACCAGAATGGGAGACTACAGTTGTTGCCCAGAGGGCTTGGTGCCACACACACACACACACACACACACACACACACACATATACACACACACCTTCCTACAGTGTCCTGCCCAGAAAAAAGCCTGGATTGAGAGTTAGAACTACTGTACTTGGTGTTAACCTGTCCTTCTCTGGGACTTACTAGCTCTTTTAACTAGGGGCTTCACTCCATCTTTGGAGCCTGGGTTTCCTCATCAGAAAAAGGAGAAATGGGGCTAGGAGACATGTGCAAACATGTCCTTTTTCCAGCCAAATCCTTTAATGTCACCTAAGGGATAGTTCTAGGAGCATGGCCAAGTCAAGGCATTTTTCATTTCTCTGGACGTTAGTTACCCTGTTGATAAAATTGAGAGGATGGGACTATAAAAGTGGTTCTCAACAAGCGAGACCTATCAAAATTTCTTGGGAAGCTTTTTAAAAACATAGATACCCTTGCCCCATCCCAGACCTACTAAGTAAGTGGCACAGATTTTAATAAGCTCGGCTACACAAATATCCAAATAGAGAAAGCATGAGACATAGAATTTTCATCTGCAGGGCCCGAATCAATGTTTGATTCCTCAACAGGCAATAATCATAGACATAGGTCACCTGCGAAGCAGAGGCTTTTCCCCCCAGTGCTGGTTGTTCTTTGCCCTCTCACTACCCAGTCCCATCGCCAGCCCTTCTTTCCCCATGCCCCTGGAGGCTGACCTCTATGACTGTAACCTGGGCTCACTTGCCCTCTGGCTCCTGATTGGGTTTGGCTAACAAGAGTCAGAGGCAGATCTGAAGGTGGAAGAAGGGCATGACTGGGGATTCCCCCACCCCCACCCACACCACCAGCTTGCTGGGCTGAGCTCAAGTTCTGGCAGTGGCTGTGCTCCTCCATGGCCACAGCTCTAGGCTCCCAGCCTGGACCTCAGGCCCAGAGAGGGCGACTTCTTCTTCCTGTCATTAGTCTTCAGGTAGGTGCCTCTTCAGCCCCGGCTGGTTTCTTTAACCCACCCGCATCTCTGCCAAGAGTCATGACATTCTTTTCTGTGAAATTCTTGAGGATGCCAGCACCCTGACTGATACAGTCACCAACAAAGTGGAGGTACTGCCCCCTTCCCAAAAAGAAAGAGCTTATGTCATTTCATGTCTATGGATAAGATTTCTTGTTTGTTTCAAAAATTTTATTTTACTGTTTAGTGTTTTTATGTTGAATTGCGTATTGCAGGGAGCAGAAAGGGGGATAGGGCTGCCTGAAATCAGGCATTCCTTCCTCTCTGTACCCAAAATGACCTGTTAGCATGGCCTTTTCTTCACAGCATTGTAATTCTTTTCTTTACTTGTCTGTCTCCCTGATAAGAATGTGAGTCCATTCATTCATCCAACAAATGTTTACTGTGCACCAACTATGTGCTATCTACCATGTTAGATGTGGGGACTTAAACACGGCAGAAAGAGATAGGCTCTGTCTTCATGGGGCACACAGTTCAGTTCAGGCAGGCAAGTAAACAATTATCATGTAGTGCAGCAATTGAAATAATTGAGATATAAAAGTATGTTTCTGGTGACATCAGAAAGACGTCAGAATCATTCATTGTGCCTGGAGGAGTTGAGGAAGCTGGGGCTAACTCCAAAGGGATGAGTTGGTCTTTACTGAGTAAACACCAGTGGAAATAATGTTCTAGGCAGAGGGAATTGTGTGTGCCCACAGGAGCACAAGAGACACGCTGAGTTCAGGGAAATGCCTGCAGTACTGGCATGAACTGGAAAGTGAAAAGAGTGAACCTGTAGAAGTAAACATGATCCAGGTCAGAGGGCATCTGAATGTTCTGGCTAAGGAGTTTGGACTTGATCTATAGATGACAGTAAGCTATTATTCCCTAGCTTCTCTGATTGTTCCCAGATCTCATGTGCCAGATACATGTATAATGTGTAAAATGATGATCAACCATCATTCTGGGCTAGCCTCACTTTCTCCAATGGGGCTTCATCTAACCCAGTAGCTCCTCCAGCTCTGACCCCCATGGTTTTGCCACAGGATGCTTTGTTCTCATCTGGTTTGCTCCACTTGGCATTGTAATCCAGCTCTAAATTGTTTACCTTATTCTTGTGAGATCAGAAAAGATTGGGCGCGGTCAGGGTGGTATGGCCGTAGACAATTGTTTACCTTATTCCTGACCCATTGCTGGATCCCAGCTAATTTCTCCATGTTTGTTCCAGGCCCCCAGAACACTTTTAACCAACTCTCAGAGCCACCACACCACATCCCATCCCACCCCTGCCCCACCAGTAAATCTGGGGAGGAAAATCAGACATTAGTGAAGAGGTATTCAAGAGGGTGTGGCAAGTTCAGATAATTTGATAATAATGTGGGGAAGTTGGTGAGTTCTTAGGAGAAGCTGAATGTGTGTCAGCCAAACTGAGGTGTCTGGGAGGACCTGGATACAAATCTGGGGCTCAGGACCAAGGTGAAGACAGGGATATAGATTTGGAATTCATAGCCATACTGAGGCTATGTGGATGAAATTAACCAGGGAAAGTTCTTGAGGGAATAGAGAAGAAGGGCCAGACCCCTGGGGGCTATGATATTTAAGAGGGAGGGAAAAAAAAAAAGGAGAACCAGGAAGGAAACACACAAATAAATAGATATATCTGGCTGTATCCAAATATACCCAGGGTGAAGTACACTCATAAGGAAAGAGACAGACACACCCAGAGAAGTATATGCTTACAGAGATGATCTGCGGTCTCTGTGTTTGGTTGCCTGCTTCTAGAACAGACGACAGATGGTGGTTCTGCTTCCCCACTGTAGTAGGTCAGAAGCTTTGAAGACAGAGGACAATGACCCATCTCCATTCCTGACTGTGTGCTCCATCAGCTCATGGTCTGTGTGAGGTTCAACTCCCCCAGCCTCAGCCCAGGACATTCCTACAGGTCCCTCTCTGCGTACAGGAGTCAGCCTAAGAATACGAAATCTGAGTATCACCCATCCTCTGAAGACATCCATTCCAGAATGCCTCTGTCATGCTGGAGCCCACGTGGGCTTGGCAGGTGAGCCCTGGAGTGCCTGACATAGCCTGTGATACAAGGTCTACTCCTGGAGTCTTTAGGAAAAAGCCAAAGATTTTAGCAGAACTCTTTCCAGACACTCAGGGCTAAATTTTGATGCTCTCTTGAGGTAATATGTGGGTCAGTGTCCCTACATTCTAGGCTCTTTGGTTGACTTCTGGGCTTATAGCCAGACACACCTGGGTTTTTACTCCTCTTTCGTCTCCTTTGTCTATTGACAAGGGCATCATGAGGCCTTGAGACCTAAGTGGA